TGTGACAGAGAAACACTCTAGCAGAAGGTTAGTGAGAGATTTCAGGGATCTCTGTAGGGGATTTGCTCTTTCTGGCCTTTTTTGAGCTCCAGTCTTTTCAGAATTCTGCCATTCCTATGGCAGCACAAAAAAAGGGTCTGTCCTTCTTATTCAAATCTGTCTTCCAGTTGTAGTTTTCTAATTAAGGCACATCAGCCCCCATTCCCCTCTGTTCCTTTTATTACAAAGTCATAGAAAAGAGAGTGAAATGTGGGAAGTCTCTGGAGTTTGCTGCTTCAGCTGAGTTTTACACTCCTTTCATGACACATTAAAGTTAACTCTCGGCCCAGGCTTGCTGACTGAATTCCCCCTTTTTTAATGGAAGCTTCACCATCTAGTGAGCGATGACATCTGCTTGAAGGTGGTTGAGCTCTACCTGAACGAGAGGAAACGAGGAGCTGCTGGGGGGAATTTATCATCCCGCTGTGTCCGGGCTGCCAAGGAGACCAGCTACCAGTGGAAGGCTGAACGGTGCATGGCAGATGAGAACTGCTTCAAGGTGAGACCTTGCTGCCAGGGAACTTCAGAAAATTGCTGAAAAAYTTCAGAAAATCTCCCAGGTGGCACATGACCTGGGAGAAGTGGGTTTGGGAGCTCCCAAAGTGAGAGTGAGCAATATGAAGAGAAGGTACCAAAATCAGAGCATAGTGAGGGGACATTGTGGCTCACTGAGAAGCCCTGTGCTTCTCTCCTAGTTTATATTAGTTTTCCAAATGACTTGAAAATATGCAGCTTTTTATTGTGAACCYCTGTGACCAATATTTCCTGTAACTTTATCCCAGGTCATGTTTCTTCAGAGGAAAGGACAGGTGATCATGACCATTGAGCTGCTGGATACAGAGGAAACCCAGACAGAAGATCCTGTGGAGGTCCAGGTAACACCACAGTGACCATGGACTCTGTGTAGCACAAAGCAGATGTCTAAGAATGCTTTCCCTGTTTTCTTATTCCAAAATGTAACCCTTTGCCAGGAGGACAAGTTTCCCTGGGAGGTGGGGAGGTGACACATGGGGCTGTGATCATTGACAGAATTAGCAAAAGAATTTCAACATAAATCAGCCAGGAATGAACAGCTGGGAAAGAAACAGGTTCATTGCAGTGGAATTTGTCCTGATGAAGTGAAATCTCACTGGAATTGTTTCCCTTGTGTAGCACCTGGCAAACTACATGGAGCAGTACGTTGGGGTGGAAGGAGCTCCCAACAACCAGAACGATGGCTTCCTGCTGAAACCAGTCTTTCTGCAAAGGTGAGCTGCTCCCTGCCCTGAGCCACACCTGCAGCAGCTGCTGCTGCCTCCTCCCTGCCTGTGTCCAGTGGGTTTGGGTGGTGTGCCAATCCTGGTGGTGTGCCAATCCTGGTGGTGTGCCAATCCTGGTGGTGTGCCAACCCTGGTGGTGTGCCAACCCTGGTGGTGTGCCAACCCTGGGGAAAGGCACTCGCCTTGGAGACCCTGAGGAGCTGCTTCAGGCCTGCTGAAGATGAAATTTATGACCACTGCACTGAGGTTTGTTCATGGGACTGTGGAATGGAGCAGGATGGATTGTGGATGGGATTCTGAGTCTGCTTTATTCCCATTTTTAAATATTTGTCAGACCTTACAGAGGAAGATCCCGGGGAGAGCCTGAAAAACAAAATCTGCACACACAAATTCTGTACTTGTGCCGTGAGCCCTGTCAGCCGAGGAGGATGAATACCCAGCTGTGTGACACACACTTTGTCATCCCTGTTTTGTTGCAGGAACCTGAAGAAGTTTCGCAAGTGGCAGTGCAAGCAGGTGAGGGCCCTGCGCAGCGAGGTCAAGAGCTCCTGGAAGCGCCTGATCGGGGTGGAGAGCGCCTGCAATGTCGACTGCCGCTTCAAGCTCAACACCCACAAGATGATGTTCATCATGAACTCCGAGGAYTACATGTACAGGAGGGGAGCTCTCTGCAGAGCCAAGCAGGTACATCTGGCTTTTACTCCCTCTGCAGCCTGGGCAGTAGCAGAGGTTGAGGGTGGGAGCTAAAATGTAGGGATTTCTAAGTCTTGTGGCTGAATTCCTGCAAAATTACTGCTCTGTGTTGGGTGAAACTTGATGAGCTGGTAAATGAGCTGCACTTTGGATTAGTTTAGCAGTCTTTTCTTTTCATGCAAATTTTAAGTGGGAGTGGCAATTGTTAAGAAATAGGGATGGTTAAACACAGGCCTGTGGTTTCCTGTTTTCCTGTTTGTGTTGTGTCCAAGGCATTGCACATCTCACSGAGAGCTGAGTGTTCTGGCTTTCCCCCATGAATCCCTCCATGATCTTTACTGTCCTGYTTCCAGGTCCAGCCCATGGTGCTGCTGAAGCACCACCAGCAGTTCGAGGAGTGGCACAACCGGTGGCTGGAGGAGAACGTGTCCATGGAGGCCGTGGACCTGGTTCAAGACTGGCTGATGGGGGACGAGGACGAGGAGATGGTGCCCTGCAAAACCACGTGTGAGACGGTGAACGTGCACGGGGTGCCGGTGAACAGATACCGGGTGCAGTACAGCCGCCGTCCCGCGTCACCCTGAGCCCCCAGCCCGGCCTGAGAGCTGCTGGGGAAGCACATTTCCTATGAGAATAGTGGTGGGAATGCAATGTATGTATTACTGATATTTATCCAAACAGCATTTTACTTTGGGATTGTCATGTATTTTCCATATGGCATAGACTTGTCTCCTCGCAGTGTAATCCTCCGGCCATCCACACTTTTTTTAGTCATTTCCTGGCTTTAGGCTGCTGCTGACCAGCTCAGTGAGGGGGTGAACCACCACTCGTGGCTTTGGTGGAGAGGTGGAGCTGGGCTGGTGTTTGAGCAGATGCTGGCAGCTGCTTCCACTTCRAAGGGTTCAGTATTCCCTACCTTCCTGACTTTGTGCCGTTCTGGAGCCTGCAGAACTCTTCACTRTAACCTGGGAGTGGCTGCAGGGCTGAGAGCCCCTGGCACAGCTCGGCAGCTTCCTTATCCCTGTGGGCCAACATGGCAACAAATGATGCTTGTTCCTGGTGCTCTGGTGACAAAAATGCCAAAACTGACACGGGCATGGCCAGCACACTCCAGGCTCTGACTCTCCCTCATCAACTGAGTGTTCTGGAGCATGAACTGAGGGGAAGAGCTCTGAGCTGTGGTGCTGGGAGGGGAGTGATTCCCAGGATTTCTGAGATCCCCCAGCTGCAGCATTGCTTTGGGATGTGAGGACCGGCTGCAGACTCTGCCTTCTGGAATATCCATGGAGAGAAATATCCCTGGGGAGGAGTATCCACGGAGAGGAATATCCCAGGAGAGAAATATCCACGGAGAGGAATATCCACAGAGAGGATATCCACGGAGAGGATATTCATGGAGAAGATATCCACTGAGAGGAATATCCCTGGAGAGGAATATCCACGGAGAGGAATATCTCTGGAGAGGAATATCCCTGGAGAGGAATATCCCTGGAGAGGATATCCATGGAGAGGAATACCCACGGAGAGGATATCCACAGAGAGGAATATCCACGGAGAGGATATTCATGGAGAGGATATTAATGGAGAAGATATCCCCTGAGAGGAATATCCCTGGAGAGGATATCCATGGAGAGGAATACCCACGGAGAGGATATCCACAGAGAGGAATACCCACGGAGAGGATATCCACGGAGAAGAATATCCACGGAGAGGATTATCCACAGAGAGGAATATCCACGGAGAGAAATACCCATGGAGAGGAATATCCATCGAGAGGATATTCACTGAGAGGAATMTCTGCAGAGAGGATATCCACGAGAGGAATATCCATGAAAAGGAATACCCATGCAGAGGAATATCCGCGGAGAGGATATCCATTGACAGGAATACCCATGGGGAGGATATCCATGGCGAGTCCCGGCGCGGTTTTTGGTTTGTTTTTGCATGCTGATGGGCAGCTCCGGAGCAGGATCCGGSCGTTTCCCGGCGGTTCCGTTCTCTCCCGGCGCTCCGCGGGGCTGCAGCTCATCGGTGCCATCGGCAGATGGAGCTCCGGGAGCGCCGCTGCGAGCTGAGCTCTGCCCCCACGGACTCTCCTGTTTCTGCTGGCTCAGCACAGGCGCYGCGTTCGCGGGGACGCGCGGAAATCTGCGCGGAGACGCAGCCMCCGCCATCCTGGACGAGCTTTTCCACTGCAGCATCTCTACTGCTATCGAAGCTTTTTTTTGGCCATGAAACCTATCACAGCCTGCCCTGATCTGTGCAGAACATCTGATTTCATCTAGTGAGGAACCAAGGGAATTTACTCGTGTCTGTCCTGCAGCCCCACTGTGACTTTACCCTGTTTTTTGGGGGCCGAGGGCAAGCACGCTGTCCATGGAGTGTATCCCAAACTGAACRTCTTGAGGCATAGGCAGCCTCCTTTCAGCTTTGCTTCCAACTTTTTCCTGGCTTTTGGGGCAATAACGTCCCCACCCCAAAACTTTCTGTGGCTTTGGTTTTTAGGTTATGATTTCTGCCAGACCTAAGGAGCAGCCTGTAGGATTTGTCCTGGGTTCTTTCCACTGGATGACATTCGGTTTCGCAATTGTCTCACTTGACAGTAGAAAAATTGGCCTTTGGGGTACATTTAATAGGAAACTGTCCTGAGTCTTTGTCTTTTTTTGCAAAATAATCGGTGGGAGGGGAGGAGGGAGGCCACTCTCTGGCATTTGTGGCCACTTGCACAACCACTGCCAGCAGAGACTTTTCATCAARAATCCCTCTCTCCTCCTTGTCTGGGTCTCTGCTCTGTTTTGGTTCCTGAAATGATCTGAAGATTCTTTCCCCTGCTCTCGTTGCAGGGAGTGACCAGAGGCCACGAGGGCTGGGGGGSAGCAGGGGGACAAGCCCAGTGCCAAGCACAGTGTCCCCCTGTCCCCAACAGGCCAGCTCACCAAAACACACCTCAGCCCTGCTCACCTCTCTGCTGTCTCCCAGTGGAGATGACGGTTGTGCCAAATTTTATGGTTTTATGATACAGAAAAACTGTTTACTAGAAAATAGGTGGCGACTTGTGGCTTAAAATGCTTTTGATTCCAGGTGTCCCGRGGTGGGCAGCACCCCCGGGCACCGTCCCCTTCCATCGACCCCTTCTAAGTGTACTTCAGGTATTTTTAAGCATCCTTATTTTGTAAACCTTAATTTATAATCTGAACTGATTAAGCAAGACTTTATGCCCTTTGCAGTGCTATTGTCTCAAAGCTGAGCAGCRAGGGGATGTGATGGGAATAACAGGCAGGGTTGAGAGGGGCTTGTTCATGTCTGAGGGTTTCAGCTGTGTATCTGCACGACCTCRAGTCAACAGTTTGTTCTTCCATTTGTTTGAAGGATCTTTGCTTTTGGGCTTGTAATTGCTTTGCCAGCTCCTTGAATGTAGTTTTTTTTTATATTTATTTGCACATTCAAGTAAAATAAAATGTTGATTTTAAAAGTCTGCAGCTTTCACTGTTTTATGTTTCTTTTCAATGAATTGAAACTCGGTGACGACCCTCAGAACTGAGTGTCTTGTACCTGAAACTGGGTTTTAAACGGTAGAAAAATGTAATTGGAAAGTTGAATGAGCTTCCCTTCAAGATAGAGAGGCTGCAGGATGTGCTGATGCAGCTGTGTGTCAGCAAGTGCTCAGGGAGGGTGTGAGCAGCGCACATGAAGAAGGGAAATCCATTTCCTGCAGAGATCCCACGCACGAGCTGGGGCTGAACTGCCAAAACCTCTCCTGGAGCCGAGGCTGGAGGGGAGCAGAGAGGCCAGGGGGTGGCACAGTTGCTCCACCAGAGGAAACCCTGGGATGGATCTCAGGGAAAGGTTCTTCTGTCCCCAGAGGGTGCTGGCACTGCCCAGGCTCCCCAGGGAATGGTCCCGGCCCCGAGGCTGCCAGAGCTGCAGGAGCGTTTGGACAGCGCTGCCAGGGATGAACAGGGTGGGGCTGTTGGGAGGTCTGGGCAGGGACAGGGGTGGGATGGATTTGACCCCTGAGGGTCCCTCCAGCTCTGGGGTTGCTCAGTGCAGCCCGGTGCCCTCCTGGCAGCCCCTTTGCCAGAGGTGGGGCACAGCCCTGGCCCCGGAATCACCCCCGAATCGCACAGGGCTCAGGGGAAGGGGCCGATCCCAGCTCCCAACCCCACGAGCAACATCTGCTCCAGGTTAAAACAACACAACTGGAACCACGAGCAGAACCCTCCTCCCGCCTTCCCCGCGGCCTCCCCGAATTCCTGCCTAATAACACGTTCCCCTGCGCTCCCTGTGAGCTCCGTACGACAAATGAACGAGTGCATTTTGCAAATGAGGCCGCGGTGATGTGACCCAGAGCTGATAGGAGTTTCCTTTACATCATCCCCAACACTTCCGTTGCCATAACAAAAGGCAGCTCTGCTCTCTGCGCAGCCCCCTGCTCCACTCAYGGGGAAACAAACTGTTCCTCTCCCCTCAGCAATGCTCTGGGGCATCAACTGCACGGAATAATCTGATTAAAATGATGGTGCTGGGCTCTCAAAGGGCTCAGCCCACTTTGCAGAGTCTCCTCTTGGCTCTTTCACAAAGGGGAGGGACAGCCAGATGTGACAGAGGAGCACTYGGAGATCTCAGCGAGTGGACAGCTCTGGCAACAGCAAACAGCTTCAAAATATCCCTCAGGATGGAATCAGTATAAATGGTTTGATCAATTAAATTCAGGGCTGAGAAAGGGAGTACCTGAGTTCAGCATTTCATATTCCAGGATTTTTTTTAATGTTTCCACATCACAGGGATGCACAGGGAGAGTCAGGGGTGTGAACCAGAGAGAGTCGGGAATTGTACATGAAAATGTGATTTGAATTTTCCTTCATGTTTTAGGTGATTAGAACTAACTCAGAGTTCCACCCGTTCAATTGAAAGACTAAATTTCATTCAGTTTAAAATCTAACAATACTTAAACTCTGCTAAAGAATGAATCCAAGGAGTCCTGGTGCTGGAAAGGATGGTGGTGGTGACGATGATGATGATGATGATGACTGTGTCAGACCATGTAACCTCATTGTTTTGCTGAAAAAGGCCCCCAAAAAGCTCTTCCAGAACACCCAGTGAGTTGCAGGGATGTTAATAAACATCAAATATTCCTGGAAAATGCCTTCATGTGGGTTTTTACACCGTGAAGTGAAAACTGCAGGCAAGCAGAGGGTTAGCTCTGAAAAACTTCCCTCCTCAGAAATGCTGCAGCATCGTGAGGCTGTGTGGGATAATCCAGGGAAAAGACTGGGTGGGATTCCAGAGGAACAGGAATTCTCTRGGACAGGCAGGAGAGAGAGGTAGAGGGATCCTCTGGAGCTGTGGGCAATCTCAAACTGGCCCAGGGAGAAGGAAAAGATCTTTTTTTGAAACTCGAGGGCACATTTTAGACACAGATCCTGCAGAAACAGCTCCGAGCTGCTGCTCAGGAACCCTGTGGTAGATCAGAGATACGAATCCCATCATTTACCCACCACAGCCTGCTCTTCCAATCCCCCAAAATGTACGGAACAGATCAGGTGCTGTCCGTATCCTCCCCCCGAGCTCTGAAATCCTTCCCAACATTACATCTTCGGGCTTCAGAGCACCGCAATCAAAGCGCTCCCGGGAGACGATCTGTTGCACAACGAATTACTCGAAAACCAAATTGTTACCCCACGGGGCAGGGATCACACGRCTTAAAGAGATGTTAACAAGCCGTGACAAACCTCTGGCAGGAGGATTTTTCGAGGCAAGCTGTTCTGCATCTGAGGCAGTCACTAAAGATCTGAAAAATGAAGGATGCGGCAATGAGGAACCGCTTCAGAGAGCTGTGATTTGCGCACGATCTGAACCTGATTACAGCTCGTTTTTTTGCTCGCAGAGCACGGAAAGGATCCCGGCCGAGACACGGAAAATGTGTGGGGGCGTGAGTCGTTCTGTAATGGTTCGTAAATCCTGGGAGGATCGCAAAAAAACGAAACGCGGAGCGCTGCATCTCCCCCGCGCCTGCCAGCGCAGCTCCACCTCTCGACACGCTCGGCACGGGTGTGGGAATAGGCTGAAAGCAAAGGAAATAGGGTCATTTTCTCCWCGGAATAGAAGAATCTCATCAAACAGCAGCCAGGCTCAGATTCGCAGCCTTTCACAGAAGAGGCCATTCATGAGGAGAGGAGGGAGAAACGAGCGGCTCCTCGGGCTGCCAAACCAAATTTACAGTTCCTACTGCCTGGGCTCCGGCTCCTGTCCTTCCTCGGCTGCAGAGCCAGGCGAGGGCTGGGGAGGAGAGCCCAAAAACAGCACCTTCTGCAGCCAGGACCTGCTGTCCCGCTGGCCTCGATGGCCACGGGAATTTGGGGAGGATTTGGGAGCAGAGCTCCGAGGGGATTTTCTCAAGGGGGACCAGGCAGGCAAGGATCCCAAAGCCCAGGTCCTATTTGCCAGTCCCTGATATCTGGGTGTTCCTCGCTCACAACCATGTGCTGCTCTGCATCCTTACCCCAGCAGGGTGGGGAAACTGCTCAGCTCTGGAAAAAAGGCAGTTTTTTGTGGGGCAGGAGCAGCTGGAAGTCCCCATTATCTGCCCAAGAGCAGGGACTTCCTGCGTGCCCCTTGCAGGCCCCTTTCCTCTGCTCTCCCCATCCCATTCCCTTATCAGAGGAAGCAAAGGCTCTCCCTGGCTTTGCCTCCTGCCCGTGGTGAGTCGTGGTGCTCCTGCTGCTGCTGTCAGTGCAAACAGCTCCAGCCCAGAGGGTTTTYAATCATCCTCTGCAGTAAAATCGAGGAGAGGCAGGAGGTTCATCCCCTGTTTAGCCAGGAAGAAGGAGCAGAAATGAAGGAGTAGAACTGTGAAGGGCCCAGCCTGATCCAGGGGTGGCAACGCTGGCACTGAAAACCTTCCATCGGCAGAACACAAATCTGCAGAGCTCTGTGTAACCCCTGGGATGTCTGTGCTGTCTGATATCTGGGATATTTCCCATTTGTACCACCCATTATGGCTCAGGGTTTGGGAAAAGACCTCAGATCACCCACCTGAACTCTGTGCAGTGGAAGATGCTCAGAATTCCCACGGGAACGCGGGTGCTGTTTATGCACAAACTGCATCAAACCCAACCAGGAATTTGTTCCTTCCAGRAACATCCCAGAGCAGGAAGGAGACCCAGATGAGTCATTTAAACCATCATCCCKCTCTGAGGATGCAGTGCAGCCCTGAAACACTTGGGATGTGGATAAATAAACCTTTCCCAGCCCCACATTCTGACGCTGCACTTGTCCCGGGCAGCCCACCCACGCCGGTGCCTCCATCCCCTCGCCCTTCCCGGGATCAGCCCCGTTGTTTCCGAGAGTTAAGGACCAGCAGGAGGAAATGCGTAAGCGGGGTCGCTGCTGCTGCTGCTGCTGCTCCAGCACGGCTCTGGAACTGCGGGGTGGCACTGAGCTGGCATGGGCACCCTCGGCATCGCCAGGATTGGGACCCTCGGGTGGCTCCTGCTCTGCTGTGCCTTCTGGGGGCTCTGCCTGAGCTCGGACTATGATGGTGAGTGGGTGCCTGTGGGTGAAATCTGCTGCTTGTTAAAGAAATGGGTATTTRGGATCTTTGTAAGATCCCTGAAAAGTCATTGTTTAATGATTTCACATGGGAAGATGCTCTGATTGGGCTCCAGTKGAAGCAGGAGGTGACAGAGGTGATATAGCAGAGAAAGAAGCTGGGCTGGAAGAAACTAGAAAGGGAAAGGAAAAATAAAGGAGCAATAAACCAGAGAACCCTTGAAAGCCAAATCTTTAGCTAATTAGACTCCCAAAGCCATGACTTTGCACTGGAGTGGCTCCAGATCCTAGGATTGTTGTGAAAGCTGGGCAGAGGAGCTGTTCCCTGGATTCCTGGGCCTGGCCATGGCTGTACAGGAGAATTAATCTCTGTATTCCCAGGTCTCTTGATGGCTGAACAGAGGAATTATTCCCTGGATTCTCAGGTCTGTTGATGGCTGTACAAGGCAATTATTCCCTGAATTCTTGGGCCTGATCATGGCTATAAAGGGGAATTATTTCCTGGATTCCCAGGTCTGTTGATGGCCATACAAGGGAATTTTTTCCTGGATTTCCAGGCCCGGCCATGGCTGTACAGCATCACAGTCCATTGTGAGCTGTGGGAAACCACAGGAAAAAGGAACGTGATCCATTCTCAGGAAGGTTCCTAAGGGTGGCTCCTGCCCTCTGAATTCTGCCAGCCAGCTTTTCTGCCTTTCCAGAGCACTCCCAGCTGCAGGGACCCTGACAGGAAAGACAAAGAGCAGCTTTTGCTCTCTTTTTTGCTCTCTTTTGCTCTCTTTTTGCTCTTTTTTATTTTTTGGGTTTGGAGCTGTGTGTGCAGCCTGCTCTGCAGAGTGGGTAATAAATGAGTTGAGTGAGTAACAAAGAGACTGAGTGGGTACCAAGATGAGCGAGTAACAGATTGAGTTGGTACTAGGCTGAGTATCAGGCTGAGTGAGTAACAGGCTGAGTGGGTTTTAGTTTGAGTGGGTACCAAACTGAGTGCGGGCCAGTTTGAGTGGGTGCCAGGCTGAGTGGGTAACAGTTTAAGTGGGTACCAGGCTGAATGGATACCAAACTGAGTGGGTGCCAGGCTGAGTGGACACCAGTTTGTGTAGGTACCAGTCTGAGTGGGTAACAGACCACCTTCCTGTCCCAGATTACTCCCARAACAGCACCAACGAACAGGCCACCACACCAGAGGCCACGCCGTGCCCCCGAGCCATCCCGGGCGAAAAGGCCACGGTCAACAACATCACGTACCTGCTGATCCCCGCGGCCACCCGTGCCCAGCTGGGCAGCGCGGTCACCGTGCTCCTCATCCCGAGCCTCTACAGCCTGGTGCTGCTGCTGGGGCTGCCGGCCAACGCTCTGGCTCTCTGGGTGCTGGCCACCCGCACCGAACGCCTGCCTTCCACCGTGTTCCTGATGAACCTGGCCGCTGCCGACCTGCTGCTGGTCTCCGTGCTGCCCTTCAARATCTCCTACTATTTCCTGGGCAACCACTGGCCTTTCGGCGAAGCGCTGTGCCGCCTCACCACGGCTTTCTTCTACGGCAACATGTACTGCTCCGTGCTGCTGCTGGCCTGCATCGCCGCCGACCGCTACCTGGCCGTGGTTCACCCCTTYTCCTCCCGAGCTTTCCGCACCCGCGCGTTCGCCGCGGGCACCTGCGCCGGGGTCTGGCTGTGCTCGGCCGGGCTRACGCTGCCGCTGAGCCTGCAGCGGCAATCCTACCCGCTGCTCGGGGCAGGGCTCACTCTGTGCCACGACGTGCTGCCCCGGCAGGAGGACGACGCTTTTTATTTTTATTATTTCGCGGCGCTGATCGGCTGCGCTTTCGCGCTGCCGCTGCTGCTGCTGCTGCTGAGCTCGGGCGCGGTGCTGCGCGTTCTCCTGCGCGCCGGCCGCCGCTACGGGCAYGCCGCCAAGCTCACGGTGCTCGTGGTGCTGGCCCTCGTGGTTTTTTACGTGCCCAGCAATGTCCTGCTGCTGGTTCACTATTCCAGCGCCTGCTCCGAGCGGCGCGGCCGCCTGTATTTGGGTTACATGGTGAGCCTGGCGCTCAGCACCTGCAATAGCTGCGCGGATCCGTTCGTCTATTATTACGTGTCCGAGGATTTCCGCGAGAAGGTCAGGAGGAGAGTGTTCGGGAGCAGCAAAAAAAGCGCCACGTCCATGAAGACCTCCAAGGAAACGCTGCCCCGCTCCAAGGATTCGCTGGTGTGAGCCTCCAGCCCGGCTCTGCGCTCCCGGGGGATCAGGGTGAATCCCAGCGCTGGAATTTCTCGGGTTTCACCCCCAGAGAGGAGCCAAGGGCTTTTCCCTGTCTGCATAGATGAGGATGAACAAAACCAGGCTGGGGGATTCTTTGCCAGGTGTGGAGCCCAGTCCTTTAAGGGGACACCTCCTGCAGCTTCTCAGCTGCTCACACACCACTGGGAATGTCTCTATCCCAACATTTGGCTCTGGTTCCTAAATTCGCTCCCTGCCTGCCAGTCATGCTCACTGTCCTTAAATGAATATTCCCCTTCCCCTTAATCTGAAAAAGAATAGGCATTGCAAYCCCAAATTTCTAAATGTTTCAAGAGATAAACACCAAATTTCTAGATGTCTCAAGAGATACTTTCCTGAACTAAACCAGTCTGTCAAGGGAGTGCAGAGCACTGGTTTGTGGGGCCAGGACATTTTTGGCTTGATTCTAAGCTGCCCTGCAGCAATGTCAGCTCATTGTGCAAAATTAGGTATAAAAGGTATAAAAATCCCATTCACTCTTCCCTGTTTTTGCAAAAGACCCTTGGCACCCATCATTTCTTTGAGGCAAAGGTTGTATTAATGGATTTTGTAACAAAATTACATCTCTCGAAGGGAAATGGTCAAGCAGGAAAGGAGCAAACCCTCTGATACTCCACACTTCCTTCGGGTAATGCCATCCCCAGCCAGAAGCTGTCTCTGAAGGAAAGAGCTGCTCAGGTTTGAGAGYTGGAGGCCAGGGGGAAATGAATAAAGCAGCCAGGAAAAACCCAGCCCAGTTATGAACAACCTGACAAAATGCAGCCAGCTCAGCTCTCAGACACACCTGGAGCTCAGCCCTRGGAGCAGCCAGGTAGAAAATGAGCAGCAAACCTCCTCAGAGCTCCTCAATCCTTTCGCTTTCCCAGCACAGGCTGCACAGCCTAAAGCGCRAATAAGAGGCAGACAGGATTGTCTTAAAATCAGTTTTTAATAAAATATTTATCAGAATCTAAAACAAACACTTTTCTGGACTCAGACTTGCTAAGATGTGTGTGAACAAACCAAAGAGCTGCTCAGAGAGCTGTCTGTGTGTGTGGGAGGGACAAAAGGCAGGTGGGACACCAGAGCTGGGCTCCGGGTGCTGGGCACTCAGAAACAGCAGGGACTAAAAAAACCCCAAACCCCAGCCCAGGCTGGCAGAGGTTTTCTAAAGAGTTGCTCTATTCCCAATAATGAAAACCAGGTTATTGTGCATTAAATGTCAGCAGTCAGGGTGAGCAAAGCGAGTGCTGGTGCGCCGAGGAAGTTTTTCAAGCAAGCTGAACATTTCTCTGGTATTTGTTTCCTACTGAGGCTGATTAAAAAGGGGGGGGGAAAGAGTCAAGACAAAAACATTGGGATGAGAAAGAACAAAAGGAACTATTGCTTTAAAATAAATACCACGGCAATGATTACTCTGCATAATGTACAGTTACAAATATATAAATATTAATTTCCTTGGGAGRATTGCAAGCGTCGATCACTGATAACTAGCACTGCTGCAGCTACTCAGTCACAGAACTCGATGGGAGAAGCAATTTTCTGTGTCTTACAAACCCACTTTGCTCCTTTTGCAATGAGGGACCATCAGGAAAAAGGAAAGGGAAGCATCTGACAGAGGGAGRGAAATGTCTCTGAGCCAGAAACAGCCCCAAAGCAGCAGCAGCAGCAGCTGCTGCTGGCCTTGCTGCCTTTGGCTTTCCATCACCCAGTTGGTTTTTGACTTGTTGGATAAAACAATAAAATCAATCCTTCTCTCTAAACTGCCTGGCTGAGGGRCACAAAGTTGGAGTTTGAGGTGACCCTGTGCACTCAGGGACAAGGGGAGAGGGATCAGGGTCAGAGACAAAAATGGGACAGAGGCTGGGAACTGCACAGCTCTGCTGTGCCCAGCCCTGCTCAAGGACCCAGCCCTAAATTTCCTGGATTCCAAGAAGGATGTTGAAGAGTGGAGGAAAAATAATCTGTGATTTTTTTTTCCCCCTAGGTAAGAATTAATGATGGCTACAAGAAACACGAACTGCAAATGTGGGGCAGGGAAAGCTCTGAGAGAGAAGGGAGCAGAGAGCTGCTCCTTTATTCCTGTGGTTGGGGGGGGAAAGAAACCCCAATTGCAGGTTCCTTGATTCAAATCCTTCAATAAAATTAAAAAMTTAATTGATTTTTAGCTACGAAGAGGAGCTGGTTTGGAAAATCCTGTCACAACTCTCCCCACACTGCTCTGCTCTGGCTCCAGGGACAATGAGGCTGCTCTGCCTTGGCCTTCTGAGGCTCTCTGACTTTACTCTGAGTTGTAAAACAGGAGMAAGGCTCCTCTGCCTCGAGTCCTGGCACAGAGAGCTCTCAGACAAGGCTCTGATTGATGGGCTGGCAGCACCAGCTGGAATTATTTACCTGGCATGGGGAATTAGGACATTGCACGTCCCAGAGCCCGAGGAAAGCCAGGTTTAATTCTTGGCTGGGACTCCCCATCCTCACCTCCTCATCCCCAGGGGAGCTCTGAGTGCCCAGGGATCTGTGAGAGGAGCAAGGAATAGAAAATTAACTTCAAATCCCTCTCCAGAAGCACTCAGTGGGTGAGGGAGAGCAGGAAAGGAAAGCCAGAAAGGGACTGAGGATGCRGAGCCCAGGTCCCATCTCCAGGACATCATCAGGGTGGCCAAAATTCATCCTCCSAGCACCGAGCAGCTGCAGCCTGAACCAGCAAACAGCAGGGGTTGTTTTGTGCAGGTTTGAGTTTTAGAAAAGGAAAAACAAAAAAAAAAACAACAAAAAAAAAACAACCAACCAAAAAACCCAACCCATGAAAACCAATAAAAAAAAAAAAAAAAAAAGAAAAAAGAAATCTTGTTTTAGCTCACACTAAGCCCGTTATTTACCCAGGGATAAATACTGACTCCTGTGTGTGTACACAATAGGCAGAGCCTGCCAGGACAGCTGCTCACAGGAGGTGGRATTTGGTTTTAAGGCATTTCTTTACCTGGCAGATGGGATTGCAGCTGGCAGGGTGAGGGTGAGGCAGGATCTGCCCCTGCACACCCCAGACCCCTCAGCCCTGGGCAGGATCCTGGGAGCAGCCACGGGGAGGAAAGGCTGGCAGAGCTGAAATTCCTGGGAATTTGGAGACCAGACCTTCCTYGTGGCTGCCACAATCTGCAAATGTCTGACCCCAGGGAAAAAGCTGGAAACTCCCCATTCCTGACCTCTGGGATGCCTCCTGGTTTGTMCCCATGTGGACACTTTTCTGGAATAAACTCGTCTTTATTCTGGGCTGGAATGTCTATAACTGGGATATATTCTTGTCATGGTCCCTGTGTAAAAAAACCTTAAAAATGAATGGAGCTGGGTTTTATTTCTTTTTTTTTTTTTTTTTTTTTTTTCTGTTTCCATTCATCAATAAACACCCTCAGAAGGAATTTCCACCCTGCTCTGGGTCCTGGTAACAGTAGAAGGGGGAAGATAAAATATTAACACAGTTTTGCAAGAGTCAAAATTAATTAATTGCGTGCAACTCCTCCAAAGAGAACAATGCTGCTCCAGGCGGGAAGGGAAACTCAAAAAAAAAAAAATCTTGGCTCCTGCAATTTTGGAAACACAAAGCTTTTTCTTTTGAGTTTTGCCACGTTGCTTGGGGCAGGTCAGAGAGAGGGATGTGACACCAGGGGTTGGTGCTGGGGAGCACCAGGAGCAGGATGGATGTGCTGGATGCCAGGGGGAGCAGAACAGAAGGGATTGGTGAAGCCAGGAGAACATTCCAGAAGGCTGTGCCTGGCTCAGGTTGGTTTTCAGGCCGGGTTTGAGGAGGAAAGGGGCTGAGCAGGCTGTGAGCAGCCCCTGCCAGCACCTAGTGCAACACAAAAGGGGCTCCCCTGCCTCACCCTGGCCCACCTGAGTGGCAGACACGGAGCCTTGAAGCCCTGGAGGTGGATTTTTCATTTTTCTCGGGTCAAATGTTTCCTCTCAACAGCTTTTCCCCGAATTGTGGAGCTGCAGGGAAGTGTTTCTCCTGTGGGTGCAGCAGATTGACGGGCTGGGGAAGATGAGCAGCCTCTTGCTATGTGATAATTGGCAAAACAGACTGATTTTTATTATTATCATCATCATCATTTGAGCAAAAAAACTTCTCAGCCATCTTTCCTCGAACAGCAGTTCAGCTAAGCACGAGGTCTGGACTTAGCTCCTAAGTGTAGCTAGGAAATGGCATTTGCAGGATATCCTGACAGCAGAGAAAACACTCAGAAATGCTCTATGGGTTCAGTTCCAGCCCCTATTTCTCTCACCTAGAGGGCACAGCACATCGGTCTCCCACGGCTGGAAGGGCTCCAAAGAGGATGGACGCACAGAAGGCAGGAAAGTGGACAGAGAATAATGCTGAGTGTCCCCCGTAGAGCTCCAGAGCCTACAGTTCTGAGGGCACCAGAAGTAGTCATCGTTCGTTGGGGGTCTGTTCTGCAGCAGGTCGGTGGTCTGGAGGAACAAACTCGTACGGGAGCAGGCTCTGAGCCTCTTCTCTTTATTGAAATTGTGCATTTCTGGTGGGGACAGAGCACAAGGAAAGGAAAGTCACCGTGCTGGGGTGTGGGACATCACTGAGGCTGGGCTGGGAAAAGCTGAAAAGGTCACAGAGCTGGGAGGGACCCTCAGGGATCATCAATCCCCCCTCTGTCCCTGCCCAGACCCCCCCACAACCCCACCCTGTCCATCCCTGGCAGCGCTGTCCAAACGCTCCTGCAGCTCTGGCAGCCTCGGGGCCGGGACCATTCCCTGGGGAGCCTGGGCAGTGCCAGCACCCTCTGGGGACAGAAGAACCTTTCCCTGAGATCCATCCCAAGCCCTGACACAGCTCCAGCCATTCCCTGGGCTCCTGGCCCTGTCCCAGAGCAGAGCTCAGCCCCTGCCCCTCCGCCTCCCCTCGGGAGGAGCTGCAGCCCCCGAGGAGTCTCCCCTCAGTCTCCTCTGCTCCAGACCAAGGGAAAGGGTCACTTATTCTGATCCCTCAGGATTTCAGCTTCTCTATTTCCATGTCTCTGTAACCCTGGAATCCTTCAGTGTTTAACTCCAGACTSCACAGACAGTGCTGAGCTCCTGCTCTCCCATTTTTACACAAAACAATTCCTCTGMAGCCCCAAACTCAAGGACACCTCCCTGGGCCAGGCCCCAAGAGATGGAAACAACAGAGAATTGGGGGGAGCCAAGTTGGAGTTTTTGACTGCATTGGCTGCAGCTGCAATTGGAGGATTCAGCCCCGATTTTGTGCAAATGGACAAAAGTGAGAAAGGGTGAAAAAGCCGTGAGCCATTGTCCATTGTGGGTGCAGCCCCTGGCTGGCCCTGAAGGCCCTGCAATAACAGAACTGCTTTGGATTCTCTGAATTTTGCCCAGTTTCTGGTTTAGGTAAACCCAAATCAAGCATCAGTTCCCGTGGAGGTGAAGCCACCGAGCTCACAAACCCTTTTACCAGCAAGACCCCAATCCTGGCGACCCCACAACAGCCCTAAACCTGCCCCGTCTGGAGGAATCTGACCCAGCCCAAGGCCACCAGGGGCCGGTTCTTGGGCAGCCCCCATCCCGCTGTGGGCTCACCATTCTGCCGTGGTGGCCTCTCCKTGGCTCCTGTCCCCAGGGTGGGGGRCACTGGCCGTGCTCAGCTCYGCCACCACCTCGAASGCRTCGGTGTCCACGGCGAAGGCGTCGGGGTCGTACTCGTACGAGTAATAGGACAGGTCTGTGTGCAGGGGGGAACCCTCCTCGGCTGTGGGGGAAGCAGAGCTGTGTTCCAGGATGGCCACGGGGCAGGGGAAGGGCAGGGATTTTGGGGAGGGGGGTTGGAGGTCAGGGAACCCCCGGGTGTGCAAGGGAAGGGGAAAGGATGCTGGAAATTCTGGGGTTTGGATTTCCCGGTCTGAGAGACGGGCACCGCAGTAAAATGGAAGGGAAGAGAGGGGAAGAAAAGAAGGGTCCATCCTTCCTGTTGGTTCTCTGTGTACACAGAGGAAAAGAAGGAAAGGAGGTCCCCTCTTATCCTCCTTTCCCCCACTTACTTTCTTCTTTTTCCTCCCCTTGTTTCCTCATTTTTTTCCTATTGTTTCCTCCTTTTCTTCCCCTTGTTTCGTCCGTCTTCCCAATTTCCTCCTTCCTTCCCTCCCACTTCCTCCTTTTCCCCCATTTTTTCCTTTCCCCCATTTGTTTCCCCCTTCCCCCCTTTTTTCCTCCTTTTCCTCCCCTTGTTTCCCCCTTTTCCCCACTACCTCCTTCCTCCCCATTTCCTCCTTCTCCCCTTTGTTTCCTCCTTTTCTTTCCCCTTGTTTCCTCATTTTCTTCCCCTTGTTTCTTCTTTTTCCCCATTTCCTCCTTCCCTCCCTTTGTTTCCTCCTTTTCTTCCCCTTGTTTCTTCTTTTTCCCAATTTCCTCCTTTCCCCCCTTTGTTTCCTCCTTTCCCCCCTTTGTTTCCTCCTTTTTCCCTTTTTCTCCTTTTCCTCTGTGCCCTAATCCAAACCCCAGCAATCGCTGGAGCAGAATTATCACAGGAAGGGAAATCCCCCGCCCACCCAAAGCCTGGATTTACTTAAAGAAAACACTCCTCAAGGCCTCTGAGAACAAATTCAAGAAATAAAACATCTGAGGGATCTTCCCTGGTGCCTCCCACATCCTCCCAGGGCTCCGGTCACTCCTTCTTGGCCACCTCCCTGTGAGGAGCTGCCAGAGCGTGAGCTCCTGCTGTGGATGGATGGATTCTGTCCCCCAGCCTCCAATGTTTGTGCTGAGGCCAAAGTTTGCTGATGGGGGAGAGGAAAAGTGGCCCTGGGCCAGTTCAGGCCATCCTGAAAGGGCAGAGTCCCTTGGGGGCAACAACAGCCAGGGAATTTTGGGGAGGCTCCACCTGGAAGCAGAGTTCAGGCTGGTAGGACCTGGTGCAGGTGGTGGTGTTGGATAAAAAAAAATATTTTAAAAAATTACCACCATGCAAAAGTGTCATAATTCCACAATATAAAAGTGTCATAATTCCATAAAAAAATTATAATGGAGAATCCCATCTGTGGGATGCCCTGAATGTCCCTGAAGGCCCTTCAATAAACAGAACTGCTTTTTATTCTCTGAATAAAATTCTCTGAATTGTGTCCAACCTGTGGTTTAGGTAAGCTAGATTTTAGGCAAGTTTTAAGGTCAGACCTCAGCCCTTCTGCCTCGCTGCAGACTTTGGGAAGCCATGAGGATTTTGAGATGAATTTTAGAATGTTCTGACCACAGCAACAGCGCTGCATCCTCATCTTTCGGGGCTCAGCTGGAACAGCTGGAATTCATCCCAACAAACCCACGGGTGGCTGTGGAAATTCTGTGTGCGCCAGAAGGGAATCCTGCAGCTCCCACGGATTCCTGAGAGGCAGCTGCTTGCTCCCAGTGCCCGGTAACGAGGCAAGACCCCGACCCAAGCACCCCTCGCCCCGATCCGAGCTGCACAAACCCCACGGCAAACCCAGGCGCGCTCCCGACAGCGCAGCCACCACGAGAACGCGGCTTTTCCGCGGATTAACGCACCCGGGGGCGCTTCTACACCGAGCCGCCCTAAGCTTGATCCGGCTCCCGGAGCTCGGCATCCTTTTAGGAAGTCCCAGATTTAGGCACGGCTCAGCAGAGCCCCGGCTGGGGCAGCTGAGCCGGCTTAAGGCGCTCACATGCTCCGGGGGCAGCGGGGACAGGGTGCGAGGAGGGGCTCGCTCGTTCACTGCGCTTTGATTCGCATCCCCCGGGTTTGACCCCAGAGCAGCCCCGGGATTAACGGGAATCATCACGGGAATCACATGCTGAGAGCTCTTCCCGCTGCGGGGTTTGGGGTTTTGGATCCCGAGCGCTCSCTCTGCCACGGCTGCTCCCAGCTCAGCATCGTCCTGCCGGGAATTCGGGCATTCCCAGACCCAGGGCACAGCCAGCTCCAAGCGTGATTGGGAAAATGGCCTTGTGGCACTCGGGGTTTGTCTTTGTCCCTCTAAAACCCGCACAACAATGCTACATAAAAATCAGAATTTCCCCTTTTGCTCCTTCTGAGGCAACAATTTCTGTCCATCCAGAACAGAAACCAGAGGGGGATTTTCCTTTGATGGATACTTTAATGCAATTATTTCAGAAACACTCTCCTGAGCATTTTTTAGATCGTGTATTGCCACCAAGCTCCATATTTTTTCCCCCAATTAATCATATTTTCACTGTCAAATTTTTATTTGAAAAGAATGTGATGGCAGCCCTGTTTTGCAGAGTTCAGTAGGGCCTTGCATTCCAGCAGTGTCCAGAATGGAATAGTTTGGGAATGAAGCTTGAAAAGGTTCAGATTGCAGGGTTTCCATGCTGAGGGCATGGAATACACTAATATATATATATATATATATATATATATATACACACACATATACATATATACATACATTTTCTATATACATTTTTTTCTAATTATATCTATAATATATATATAATATAGTGTATCTATTATATATAATAGATATAATATTATATATCTATTATATATATTCTATATATAATAGATATATATTTAAATATAGATTTTAATTCTTTTCCCCCCACTATAAATCCAGGAAAAAAAGGAGTGGAAAGTAGTACAGACATTAAACCCTAAAACTGAATGACCTATAAAAACTGCCGTAATGGAATATTCACCAGGTTTTCACACCTTCATAAGAATTCTGTCCATCAGCTGCTGTCCAGAAGGGAAAGAACAGGCTGGAGCCTCATGCTGGACATGTGTTAGTCTGGCTCTGGTGGACAATGGGCACAGGAGGAGGCACAGAGGCTTCTCCTGAAGAATTAACCTGATTTTACCATTTTTTTGGCAGAGTTGGAGGCCAGGGGGAAATTAAWAAAGCAGCCAGGAAAAAYCCAGCCCARTTTATTGACTAGAAACAGYGTGAAAWGAGCTGTTCTGCTRCCCCTCTTCTGCTGCTGGGTGAGATTTATTGTGAGCCACGAGCAGCTCCGACGCGAGGCTCGGAAAAAAGCGCACGAGCGTTAAGCACCAAATAAAACGAGCAGCCAAATCCCYGGCTGCTCCATCCCCTGACCTTAACAATTTTGTTCACTAAGGCCCTTTATTCCAAACAGCAGCTTGGAGAGAATCAAGGCTGCCAGCTCTGTTTTTTGCCCAGAACTGTGGGGACAAAGTTAATCCACCTGGATTGGAGTTCTTGTGGTGGTTTGGGGCTGGTGTCACGTCCTGCTCAGCTGTTGGTTGGAACACATTGCGTCAGTCTGGCCTTAAATGGGATCTTTCCAGCTCAACAGTGGGAGAAAAGATCACAGAGATTGTGTTGTTCAAACACAGCAAGGCTGGGGAAACAGGAGGGACAGTTGCCCACTGCTATAAACAATTACCTAAATCCTGCAGGTGCTGGACTGAGCAGGATTCCTGCAAGATTTCCTGAAAGGAAAAGGGCCAGGAGAGCTGTCTGCTACTAAACAGTTCTCGTCCTCATTTTCTTTGACCTCTTCATTTTTTTTCCTGATTTCTGAGTATTCTGTCTTTGGCATAAGATGAAGAAATTCAGCATCTTTGCTTAAAACGTTCCTGAGAGCCACCTCTACTTTATACAGGGGTAGGATAAGCTTAAACCTCACTAAAAAAAGGTGGATAAATGTAAAGGTATTGCATTACCTGCTGGAGTCTGGGGAATGCTGGGCTGCTCAGCTGTGTGGGAGTGTGTCTCTCTTTCTTCTGGCAAGTTCTTGGCTGCAAATAAAAAGAAAAATAAACTCATTGGTCATGTAATTATTTCATGCACCTCTAGGAAACATTTGCATTTCCAGAGGTGGCACAATCAGCTCCCTGAGGTACAATGCCACAGGCCTTGAAAGCCCATGCAGAACCTCCAAAGGATGTTACATTCCATGGATTTAATTTTTATCCAGGAGTATTCACTTCAGATCTAACAGTACCACTCATTTTCTCTCCAGTTCATTATGGTTGGTAAAACTTGTATCCATGAGAACAGAAAATTGGTTATTTTAAACTGAAAAGATTTCCTTAGAGGAAAAGGATGTGGAGAGCTGTCTGACATCGAATGGTTTCTCATCCTCAGCTTCCTTGACCTCTTAATTTTCTTTCTGATTTCTGGGTATTCTGTSTTTTCCATAAGATGAAGAAATTCAGCACAAACAGCAAAATAACACATGGGGAGTTTGGAATTCTCCTTTCCCTATCATACATATGGAATATGAATTCCATACCCAATAACACCCAAATGGTCCTCGCTTAGACGAGGATTTGCAACTTTCTGCGGTGGAATAATTAAAAAAAAAAAGGAGAAACCACCAAAACCTACAGGCAGAACACTGAGCCATGGGCATCTGCTCTATCCTGGTGTTGTTCCTGCAGGATGCCACCTCCATCTGGCACTGGTTGGGGTAGATRTTTCCATCTGAGCCGCACACGGGCTCCCCGTCGTAGCCGCAGTCCCGCGAGCACAGGCACTGCTCAAAGTACTCGTCCTCCAGGCAGCCCAGGACACTGTTGCAAGGGCCAGAGTGGACAAAGCCTGGGAATTGAACAAAACCAGTAAAGACCATGATTTCAGGGAAAGTGGAATGGAAATGTGTCACTGATGTTGGTTTTCATGTTGAATTTCCCGAGGTTTCTGACAGTAATTCACAAACGCGGCAGAATTGAAAGCTCTGGGAACAAAGTTGCCTTTCTGAAAGAACCACACTACAACGGCTTCCAGACTTGGGAGAAAGGGACTGGTTTTGTGCCACAGAGCACAGAAAGGAGCACACAATTTCTGGGGGAAGTTATTCACTTGAAATTGTTCCGTTTTCCCCTGGTTAATCTCAGAACTCTACCTCAAAATATTGGAGAGAAAGAAAACCGAACTGCACAGGGAAGAGTTTTTACCTCTTTGCTTACTGACACATCTCCCCCTGTGCAGGTTACTCCAGAATCAGACATTTGCCTTGCCCCTGAAGCAAACCAGAGCCACTTTGGTGCCTGAAAAGCACCACTGCTCTCTTTGGCCACCATCACTTCAACATCACCATCCCACAAATTTTTGTAAAATTCCCGGTAACACAGGTAGGAAAAGCCAAAATTTTTCTAAATATAATTTCTAAAAAAAAAATTCTAAATATAAATCTGAGTTCAGAACATCTGTGGGTCCCATTTTCCCAAAAGATCTGTGGGTTTTTGTGGGGACAACTTACCAACCCACTGGCTGGCTGAGCTCTCCACCTCATTGCAGGTGGGGCCATCGCAGAGCTCCCGGGCCAAGGGGCTGTTCTCACTCACRTTGTAGAAACGAGTGGCTTCAAAAGCTGCAACCAAGGAGGAGAAATCACAGCTGAGCCTCCTGTCTGGAGCTCTGAAGGCAGCAGGGACCCAAGTGGCACAAACCTGGCTCGTAGTAATCGTACACTTTGATGGGAACGGGAGCAGTTTTGCCGACGATGTGCTCCCTGAAAGCTTGGAACTTCACACAGGTCATGCACTGGCTGGGAATCTGTGGGGAGAGGTGGAAAAGATTCAAAAAGATTCAAAAATCACACCTGAAGTGAAGAGAGAGACAAAGGAACACTTGGCCCGGTATGACACACCAACCCACCTCCAATAATCCAATTATCGGGACAGAGATAATGAATCAAAGCCAAACAGGGTGAATTAAACCAGGAGGTTTTGCCGACCCTAAAAACTCATTTTTGCCACAGAGAAATGGCAGATTTGACACTCCACCTGCATTCCCTGGCTTGCCCACCAGCACCAGAGCATTTCCTGCTGCTGGCCAAGCCAAGAGCGATCTCACCTTCCACCCTCAGGCTGCGAGATTTAAATGACCCTTCATTCAGCACTGCCAGCTGTGCCTGAAARTGAGATTATTTCCAGGCACAAAACTCAGTGATATCAACCCAAAATGCTCTGTGGGCTCAAGTGAATCCCCTGCCTCTATTATATTTTGTTTACCAATCAAAATCACAGCACCCACCTGCAGCAAAAGAGGCTCAAGCAAGGGAAAGGTGCAGTGACCCAGCACCAAAACTCATCCTCCATCATTTGCCTTCCACTGAAACCCAACATAATTCCAAGAAATAAAGCTGTTACCTCATCAAAATAAAACAGGACTTTCCTTCCGTCCACTTCATATCTTTTCAGCCCAATTTGCTTGTTCATCAATAACTGGGGGTGAAAAGAAAAGTTAAATGAGTCAACGTGTTTGGTTTGGTCTCATTTTATGGAAAAACAGGTAGGAATGGGAGAATAAGATTTCAGACTGCTTARAAAACTGATCAGGCACTGAACTCCAGGAATGGAGAAAAGGATGGAAAAGAATGATTTCATGACAGAGGGAAAATGCAAAGCGATTGAAGTTGCTGTTACATGAATTATGAGGGGGGAAAGCCACCTGTGTCCTTCCCTGGGTAGAATCCTTGCAAAGTGCAGGAGATAAGGGGCATTGATCCCCCTGGGCTCTGCTGACACATCAGCCAAAATCTCATCGAGTGTCTCCCAGGCTGTTTCCAGCACCAAGGAAAGACCTCAGAGACCCCAAAACACCCCATAAAGTCTCTCATTTACCTCCCCTCAGGCCCCCAGAGAATCATGAAAACCAGGGAATCAGCASCACCATTAAACTGGCTTTACTTTAAAATTCTTTCCCCAGATCTTCCCAGTATAAGATGATAATATTTTATATATACTAATGAAGTTATTAACTGAAGAGATCTTTTAAAGCAAAATATTTTTCAGCTCTCAAGGATGCAAAGATTTGACACCTCTTTAGTTAAGCAGTCCTTTAAAAAAACCAAGTTTGCAGCATAAAACCACCACTCGTGAATGCAAAATTCCACAAAAAGTAATGAGTTGTAATGAATGTAAGGATTCCACAAATATAAAGCAAAGCTTATGATTGTAGAAGCTCATCTGCCCTAAAGGGCTGCAGAGCACAAGGCATAATCTGTCCACCTCAGCCTGACTGCAGTAAACACAATGTTCTCCCAGGGAAAAAAAATAAAATAAAAAAAATTGGGCAAAAAATTCCAAGACACAGAGCCTCCAAAGCAATGGGATCCAGATGTTGGAGATAACACAGCCCTCGGAGCRGCCATAAACAGCTCCTGTTGGAGCACATTCACACTTTGGCTTTTCCAGAGGGGCTCTGGTCCTTACTGAGCTCTTGGCTGGGCTGGGGGCGTTGGCTCAGCCTGCCCTGAGYGCCTGCTCCTCCTTCCAGGGAGGTTTTCTGACCCGGGAAATCTCATCCCACCCCGCTGGTTTTAATCCCACCTTTGCAGCAGCACTCAGTGGTGTTTGCCTCCTCCCACCCCTCTCCCGGTCACAGATCCACATCCTGGTGTTGCCAGGGAGATTTTTGCCTTTTTCCTTTTATTTTTGGTAATCTTTCCAATAGTTTTCCCTGAACATTTCCCCAGCAAGAAGATCAAACACATTCCAGAGCTCCAAGCCCTGGGTTGGCACAAGGTCCCCATCCTATCCTGGTTCTTCCTGGGATTCAAGAGGTCTTCAAGACACATTTCCATAAAAAAAAGTCCAGCTGGGACTGAGGGTGGGGAGCTCCAGAGAAGAGGCTTGACCTGGGGGGAATTGAATCACCCCTTGTCCTCCTAATTGGTGCTTTAATCAATTTTTCTAATTTCCTTAAACCTGTCAAACTGTGCTTACCCCCGTGGGGGTAGGATTTTGTGGAAATTCTTCCAGGAGTGCCCCTAGAACTCCAATAAAAATCCACTTTTATACTACCTGAAATCATCTCCAGTTCCATTTCTAGGYTGAAAAAGGCACCACMAGCCCTGCCACTCCCATTCCCACTCCTCACCTGCTCCAGGCTCTCGATGTCTGCCCGAAATCCTGAGAACAAAGGCACTTCCAGCACTGCCATGTTTGAGGAGCCAGAGTGCAGCCACCTTCCCATGGGAACAAAAAGAGAAAATTGAAACAAACTCAACACCCGAGACAGCGAATGGACAACTGGGAATGGAGAAAGTGACTGCAGAAGGAAAAAAACCACTTCTCTCTGGAACATATTGTGTAAACTGGGCTCCGGCCTCATCCAGGGGGGGATTCTTTAGAATATGGGGACTATTMATCATCTTCATTAGAAAATCTTCATGAAATCACTTCATTTGTTAAKTTTCTAATTGGGGAATTTTAGATAGATCTGATTTGTGAGGTCTATAAAATTGTGTGTKTGTAATACACAGGGGGTGCATCTTTGGTGTGTTCCACCCTGGTGAGCTGTGCACCCAAGATCCTATAAAATATCGAGGGAAGACCCTTTTATCCCCTTAAATGTGTGCACCTCAGAGTTCAAAACTGGATGTTGAAGGGTTTTTCCTGGCACAGAGSGGCCGATCAGCACCAAATGCTCCGTGAGGAGCAGGACTGGCCTTTCCTTTGATCATAATTGAGAAAAAGCCCCAATTTACAAGAAGCAGGTGATGCCCCTACCTGGTGCAGGTCTCCAGGATGACTTTGTACTCGCGGTGGTCCTGGTCYGAGGCGGGGTCCTCATCATCCCCCAGAGCCCGGTCCCTGTGCGGGGCCCCGGGGCGGCTCCCGGTGGAACCCGAGCGTGGTGGGGCTGGGGCTTGGAGCTGCTGCTCTGCCTTGGGYTCCTTCAGGGTCACCAGGAGCTGGAAAGCTGGTTTGGCAATAGGATCGGGGACATTGTAAGTGACATCGATCTGCAGCGGGGAGAGGGGAAAGCAGAACGGATCAGGGTGGATGGTGAGATAACACACAGTAAAACACACAATCCCCGTGTTTCAGTGCACCSAAAAACATCCCAAAAAGACCCCAAAGAGGGGCTGGCAGGCACAGAGGCTTTGCCATGCAGTTATTTATCAATATCAGCTGTGCCAGGGCTGGTACAACCACATTCACCTCCAGGAATTAAAGCAACACCACCTTCTTCCTAAAAAGAATTATTTTGGGAGAAATCCCAAGTGCGAGTCTGTAATGATGAGAAATGACATGGACCCCACCCAGGCAGGTGGAGAGAGGAATCAGTTTATTGCAAAAATCCAGGGTTTTTAACCCATTGGTTTGTTATGGGTTTATATTTTTGTGAAGCACAATGAAGTGTTTTAACCAAGCACCATAAATCACACCAGGAACTCGCCATGGTCAGAACTGACCACCATAAATCACACCAGGACCACGCCATGGTCAGAACCAACCACCACACATCACAGTGTGAGCTCTCACAGATTCTATCCCTCGTTTTCCAAGGTTTTTTAACTTGTTTTTCACCTCCAGTTTAKCTGAGCCATTCCCAGAATCCTTCTCTGGTTGGCCAAAGTGACAGGAGAGAGCAGGAGTTTTACAGGGGTGCCAAAACCCTCGTTTTGTAGGGTTTTACTGATACCCAGATCATTCCTCGCAGCACAGTGGGGTTAAAAAAGCAGCAAATCAGACTGGGAGTTCAGAGATCACCTGGCCCTGTGCTTTGTGTAGCCCCAGGGCAGCCTTACCTGCATCAGACAGCATCCTTCCCCCTTGGCACTGACAAACAGCCCCGTTGGAATGCTGGGGATCTGGGGAGAGTYCACAGTGAGACAGACAACAAATGGCACTCAGGATGGAAATCAATATGAAATTGAGCTCTTTTCTGTACAAATTTATTTTAAAAGGGCACTGCAGAGGTGAAGTGAGCACGGTTTGATCTCTCCCCTATCTGCTCTGATGGCAGAGACAAACAGMAGCACAAAATCAGCATCAGGCACTGGTTATGGTGAAAAATCCCTTTAATTTTGAGCACCTTTCCTTCACACCACAGCCCAGTCACAAAACCACAGAAATTCCCACAGATCTCAGTGCTTAACTTGAGCTTTTACCCTCCCTGATGCAATCCCTCACTCAGAGCTCAGCTCATGTGGATGTTTTCAAAACACAAACCACCTACCACTGCTGTCTGGAGGACCTTTTTATTCATCTTGTTGAGCTCAAAAGTCTCCTGGTAATCCAGGTTGGTGGAGGCCAAGGAAATGGTCAGGTTGACCCCTCCAACATAAGAAAGGATGGCATATTCAGCCAGAGCCTGCAGGGCCACACAGGTGTCCTGGGGGAGGAGAGGGAGAAATCAGAATAGTGATGAATACAGGAGAAAACTWCCAAATTATTCAGCTTGCTCAGGTYCAAGCAGCAGAATCTTCCTTTTWAATTCATATGGCAAAAGAAAAGTCAGGATTTGCTCCCTTCATGCCAAAGGAGGACAAAATCTGGGTTGCTTTTAAATTATCTGCCTGAGAAGGAAGTGGTAACGAGTGCCAGATTTTTTTTTCTTTTTACCAGAACACAATTCCTGTCAGGATAATGATGAYTTAGGATTCTTAGCTTCTATATTTGCAATTTTCGGTATTTTTGTACTTCTCCAGTGCACAGCACTAAACGTCACATCTTTAGACAAAGTAATTCCTCTCTGACCCTGAATCCAAGGACACTTTTCTGCCTCAGAGCCCCAAAATATGGAAACATCAGAGAATTGGGGGAGCAGTTTGGGGTGGGTGACATCATCACCTGAAGGTGTCATTGTGGAATTGGGGCCCGATGTGTTCATGAGACAGAACTGATAAAAGGGGAAGATCTCGTGACTCGGGGTCCATTTTGGGTGCAGCCCCAGAAGGAGGCTTTGTCTGCCCTCAATGCACCAGCAGGCCTGGATTAAATTTATCTGCTTTTATTCCCTTCTCTTGGCCTGGCCTCTGCTCCAGGTGAGCCTTGTTTTAGGCATCAATAATGGAAACTTTGCGTTCCTGAATCGATTGCCATCTCCAGAGGCAACCCCCACCTGGGTAGATGAGAATCCTCCCAGAGCATTCCTCTGCTGGGAGAGCCATTTGACCACRGGGAGCGCAGAGGCCACGTCCCCCAGGAGTGTGTAGGTCAGCAGGGCGTAAGATGTCATTTCCACTTCTGCAGAAACAACTGGAAAGGGGGAGGAATTAAAAAAATATAAATTAAAATTCTTCACCTAGAAGTGAGGATTTAGGCTGGTCTAGAGATAGCTCTATGAGTGTTTATTAACTGAAAAATAATTTGAAAAAGTTAAGAGTCTGTAGAAGTAAACAGGAAAAGTTGAAATACCTGCATTCACCTCCCTAAGATAGCTCTGCTTTCAATACAAGCTTTCCTTSACACAATAGATAATGAATAATAGAGATATTCACACAATCAATAACCAATAAAGGAGATATTCAGACAATAAATAACCGGTAATAGAGATATTCACACTGTAGATAATCAATAATGTAGATATTTATACTATAGATAACCAATAATGGAAAAATTCACAAATCAATAACTAATAATAGAGATATTCACACAATCAATAACCAACAATGGAGATATTCACACAATAAATAACCAATAATAGAGATATTCACACAATCAATAACCAATAGGAGAGATATTCACACAATCAATAACCAATAGTAGAGATATTCACACTACAGATAACCAATAATAAATATATTCACACTATAGATAAGGAACAATATTCACACAACAGATAACCAATTATGGAGGTATTCACACTACAGATAACCAAAAATAAAGATTTTCACGCAATAAATAACCTCCTTTCTGCCTGACTGTATCCCACAGGTCATTTCTCTCCCACTCCAGTTCTACCCTGCTGCTGCCCATGCTGTTGTCCTGTCCCAGAAGATTTTTGTGCAAAATCCAGTCAGATCCCTCTTGGACATTGCTGCACCTACATCATGTCCAAAGAGTCATTGCTTTTAAGTGCCTTGAAAATTACAAAATCATTCACTGACAACCAAACCCCCCAAAAAATCAGCTGAAGAGTCAGTGACCAGTGATAGAAGCCTTAGGGCTGTTTGAAAACACAAAGATAAATAGCTCTAAAATTAAATATATTTGATTCCCTCAGATTTCCATTTGYAATTACTACTCCCTGACAGAATCCCATATGGCTCTGACTCTTCTGTCTTTGTAAAAGTGGAGTGAAAGCTGATGGGACAGCTGGGGCTGAAGAACCCATCTTCTCTGGACCTGCTCTGCCTCTCCTTTCATTCTTCCAGCAGAACTTCACCTGCCTTTTCTGAGTTCCCTTTCCTGTGCACCCTGCCCTGACAGCTCCAGAACACCTTTTATTTTCTAAACAATTCACTGCAACACATACAGGGCTGATGTGACAGCCCCTTCCCTCATCTCTGCCTTGTCACTGCCAATTCCTGATTACTGATTGAGAATCCCCAATTACCTGATTGAGAATTCTGAATTACCTGATGGAGAATTCCTGATTACTGATTGAGAATTCACAATTACCTGATTGAGAGAGGCCATCATTGAAGCCCATGAAGGTGTCTTCATCAGTGACCAGGGTTCCTGTGAGGCTCCAGTGGGTAAAGCCATCTAGGAGAAGGGGAGATGGGGGTTATTAGGGTGGGAGTGCAGCTCTGATGCACGGAAGGGTCAAATCTTATTTTTGCACTGGCTCAGAACAGCCCCGTGCCCTCATCTGCTCTGTCTCTCCCTTTGGGCAGCCAGTCCCTGGGCAAGAGGACTGTGGAATGGAAAAGGTGGGGCAAATTCTAGGATTTTGGGTTCAAATGCACCATCAGGGCACATGAGGTGTTGCAGAGCAAATACTGTCCCTTCAAGGAAAGCACTGCAGAGCCTCTGAATGGTGCTGAGCACCAAGGAGTGGGTGTGACCTCTGGGTGGGCCATTCCCTGAAGAGCCTGATGCCTAAATCAAGTCCCTAAACCAGAGACTGGGCAAAATTCAGAGAATCCAAAGCAGTTCTGTTATTGCAGGGCCTTCAGGGCCATCCAGGGCAGTCCCAGCCCAGCCAGGGGCTGCACCCACAATGGACAATGGCTCACGGCTTTTTCACCCTTTCTCACTTTTGTCCATTTGCACAAAATCGGGGCTGAATCCTCCAATTGCAGCTGCAGCCAATGCAGTCAAAAACTCCAACTTGGCTCTCCCCAGTTCTCTCTTGTTTCCATCTCTTGGGGCCTGGCCCAGGGAGGTGTCCTTGAGTTTGGGGCTGCAGAGGAATTGTTTTGTGTAAAAATGGGAGAGCAGGAGCTCAGCACTGTCTGTGGAGTCTGGAGTTAAACACTGAAGAATCCCAGGGTTACAGAGACATGGAAATAGAGAAGCTGAAATCCTAAGGCATCAAGCTGGTCCCTTCCAGGTCAGGATATTCTGGGATTTTCTTCCTCCCTGCAAACACAGCCAGGCGCGCTCTTGCCTTAGAAACCCAAACCGTGCCATGAGAAACCCCCATCCCACAGGCTCCATCCCCTCCAGCAGCTCTAGCACAGCTCTCAGGCTGTGTTTCCCTGCTCCTGCAGGGGGCTGGAGCTCAGGCTGGAGCTCGGTACCTTGGGTGATGGCCATGCTGTTGATCCTACGCAGCGCCACGGCCGCAGAGGGGCTGTGCAGCAGGGTCAGCGCGTAGGCGGTCAGKGCTGTGGTGTACGGGTCCTCAGCTGAGTACAGGTGAGACTCCAGGAAGTGTTTGGCTTTGTCAACAGCTGTTCTTTCCTCCTACAGCCAGGGGAGAGAACCCAGACACGTTTGTAAACATCAGATGTTCGAATGGTTTCATTACTCGGTACATCGTGGCCGTTAGAAACAAAACAACAGAAAAATCAAACCAAAACACAACAAKAGAAAATCTKAACAAAAACAGCATCAACAAACCCAAAACAACAAAACAGCAAACCCRAACCAACAAAAACAACAACAAACCCAAACAAAAACAACAACAAAACCAACAGAATAAACTGGGGAAGACACATTTTGCTCTCTGCAGGATGGCACTGACACTTTCTTTTCCCCAAGTGAAGCCACGCATCAAAAATACAAAAAACAGCAGAGCAAGAATGATCAAGGCTAACACTAAAACACATTTTTTCCCCTCCTAAAGCTGAAGAAATTCCATGCCCCTGCRARGCAGCAGAAGAACAGGGCAGGGGCRAGCTCTGGGCTCTAGGTTTGATTGTGTTGCTGACACTCCGGAGCGTCTGGCAGACGCCAGAGGATAATAAAGGCCAAGGTTCCCAGGGGTCCCTGCAGCCAACAAACATGTTTTATTAACTCCCCCCAATGACCTCACCAGGCAGGAACGTGGCTCTGATAATTTATAGAAACAATTTAATTGGACTTGATGTAATTTGGTTTGCTTTGATTCCCCCGTGGCGCGAACCTTCCCCTTTCCCTGTTTCCTAGAGGAGGGCGTTAGCAACGCCCCCAAATCTCCTCGAGGAAAACCAGCAGGAACTGCACTCCCAGCAAGGAAAAATGCTGGGGCTGCTGCCTGGACACCCAGCAGCCCGGGGAGAGCATCACAGCTCTGCTCAGTGGGGGACACTGCTGACAGGGAGGCAGGAATTTCCTCTSCGGGCACTGCGGGGTTTTTGGAATTTTTAATGTGAATTTTTAATAGGGGTGAAAGGCTCCTGTTCCCACAGAACAGGGGTTAGGGGCAATCTGCCTGAAGAGCAGCCTCATCTCACTCCTGAGGGTCCACAGGGGTGGGTGAGGAGTACTGAGGCGTTCAGCAGGATGGATTCTGCTGGTGGAACTGGCTGTTCTGACATCCTCATAAAATCCCAGGGTTGTGYCTCAAAAAGACCCTGATCAGYAAGAGATGCTGSAGCATCCCCCACASCTCCCCTTCTCCYCTCCAGATACCTCTACCCTCTCCTMAGGCTGCTGGAGAAGCAGGGAGGAGCTGCATCCATGGCTTTTCTGGACACTGGGAACATCTCCCTGCTCCTGGTTAGTGGGGTGTGTAACCATAACCTGACTGAACATCTCCATCCCAGTGAAACTCCATGCTGGCAGAAACACATCAGAGGGCAGGAGCACTGTTTTCCTACGAGTTTTAAGGAGGAATCCCTAAACCACCAGTTTCATTGGAAATTTGGAGGGTTTTCCCAGCAGAATTGCCCATTCCTACAGAGCTGTTTCTCTTTTTTTCAGTGTTCCTGCTCTGTCTCACCACAAAGAGGAGAAACATTTTTCCTCCAGAGCCCTGAACCCAGCATTTTGCAGGAGCTCAGCTCTCTAAAGGCACTGAATCTGACAGCAGTAGCATTTTGGCCAGTGCAGCCAAGCCAGACCACAAGAGCTCTCTGCATCCCCAGGTCCAGCTGCTTTGAGCACCGAGCCAGGATTTGTGAGCTCTGCAGGCAGGAGAGCAGGATTTGCACAGGCTGCAGCCACAGCYCGAAGCTGCAAGGCAGAAAATCACTTTTTGCAGTAATTTCTGGGAGAGGCTGAGGGATGGGGCTGCAGGGAAGGGTTTTGCACTGGTGGGATAATCATGATGGTGGAAGGGTGAGAGAGCACCTTGAACAATTGCAGAATAAATTCCTTAACTTTAAAACAACCCCAAGGCTTTCCAGAAACCTCTCTTCCCTGGATGGTCTCAATCATTCCAGAGAGCACACAATCTCTATGCAGCAAAATCTCAAACAGCAGCAAAATGAAGTTTAAAAAAAAGAGGATAAAGAGAATTTTTGGAGCTGTTTTGACAGAGTTTGTGTTACCTCAGAAGTGACCCCTGTTTCCAGAAGAGATGCAACCACATAAGCTGTCAGGGAGATCTTCCCGTGGATCCCACCCTGGAAAAACAACACAAAGCAGGGGATGAAAATGAGAGAAAAAGATAYTGGARGAAAAAAMCCCAAAAAACTCTAGAAGCAAGAYAAGGGATRGGTTAGAACTGCAGGAGGAGCTGAAGTATCACCAAATTTCTTTTGCTTTGCACATAAAGAGTGGGAAATTCAGGAATATTGGTTGGACCCAGGACGCAGCTGTCCTGAGGACACATTTAATGCAATATTTTGTAAGAATTCACATCTTGCTTTTCCTCATTTGGGGACACCCAGGCACGTTCTGAAATGACATTCCCCTGGCTCTCTCTGCACTCTCCTTGCCTTCCAAGTGCAAAATTCCTGCTCAAACTGCATCACTTCATGCTTTATTCACAACTTTTAAATGTTCCTYGTTGATCCTGTAGGGTTTTTACCTGGATGTCCTTATTGAGGATCCTGCCCATTGCAGGGAAAGACCCATCCTCTTTCTGGTGCTGGATGATCCAATCCTTGGCAGCCGTGAGTTCTTTGGGGTCAATGAAAATAAACCCACGGGACTGAGCAAAGGACTTGAGGACAAAAGCTGTCAACCTGCAAATGTGAATGAATCATCTTTACAGAGAAAACAAATTCAGAACGAGCTATCAGTGAGAGGAAAACAACGTTCCTAGAAAGCACAAATTGAAAAAATCTTAAATATTGTTGTTAAAAAGTTTGTGGGACATAAAAGCACCTGAACAATGTCCAAGCTTTGGATAAGAAAGGATGAAAGGTCAACAAATGGAATTGAGAAGCAGAACTCAAGGATCTGTTTGTTGTAATTATGTCAGTCTCTAAAAAGTACAGGGGTGTTTTTAAAGGTGTTCATCTGCTGCTCAAATTTTGAAAGTTCCTAAGCTAAGAATTGATACTTTTAAATCAAGAATCAATATATTTCTCATAAGAAATCCAACTTTTTTCCTCAAGCTGTGTTACACTTTATACAGAATTAAGACTTAAGAAAGCACCAGAAGTGTTTTTGGAATGCTAAACCTCTGACAACAAGTGTGAGCCCTGGCCAGCTTTGGGGGATGGAGTCATCCCATTTACAGGCCCCTGAGGAATGGGAGGGTAGCAGCCCCGCTGCCTGGCAGGGGATTTTTGGAACGTTGAGTAATTCTGTGTCACCACATTTCCCATCCAGGGGCTGGGAGATGCCAGAGCCCCGAGAAAAGCTCTCTGTCTCAGGAAAGAGCAGCGTCAGCGGTGGGACTGGGGGTAAATGGGTGAAAAACAACCCCAGAGCAGGGGAGGAGGCAGGGGAGGGGGATGAGGAGCAGGGGCTGCTCCAGCTGAGCCCTGGGGGTGGTGACACGCTGGGCTGGGGTCACTCCAACCCCCCCAAGCTGGAGTTCCTGGGGGGGAATAGCTCTAACCCTGCGCTTCCATCACTGCTGGCTTGGCTGGTGTCTGATCCTGAAAGGCCCTGCACTCACTCCCAGAGCAGAAATCCATAATTTCTCCATAAATCCAACATTTCACCATAAATCTATCATACCTGTAAAATCACAATTTATCCATAAATCCATCATTTATCCATAAATTCATAATTTATCCATAAAGCAATAATAACCCATAAATTAATAATTTATCAACAAACCAATAATTTATCCATAAATCCATCATCATGTATAAATTAATAATTTATCCATAAATCAATCATTTATCCATAAATCCACCATTTATCCATAAATCCATATCATTCCATGCAGGAGGGAGTAGGAGGCACAGTGCAAAAGGGCTCCTTTTGTGGGGTTTGAGTTGGTTTTTGATGGGTTTTGTACCTCCCCTGGGAGAAGCCTCTGCCTTTTCTAGAGACAGCATTTCCCTGTGCATGCTCTGGATAAAATTCCATTCCCTGATGGAATTAGGTGCTCAAACACCTGTAATTTTGCAGATATGATCCTTAACTGCAGCTTTTGTGCCTGGAGCTCAGATTTGTTTGCAGATTTGACTCTTTCAACTGCTCCTGAATCAGCTACGAGCGCTCAGCGGCACCGAAGCAGCGATTCTCTGATCACTGAATTTTCCTGTTTTATTTCTATTCTCCACTCTGTGTGAT